CTAGGACAAAGTATGTGGGAAGGAGCACAGAGCTTCCATGCCCTCTCCTGAGCAGACCACCCTCCCAGCACCTCCACGTATTCACCAACCCAGAAGTTCTTCGCACCCCAGAATATTGGGGTTTTTATGGAGGCTTCCTCACATAGACATGATTAATTATTAACTCCATTTCCAACACCTCTCCCCTCTCTGGAGGATGGAGATGGTGCTGAAAGTTTTAAATTTCTAATCATGGTCTTTCTGATGACGAGCTCCCATCCAGGAACCATCCAGGAGCCCACCCAGAGTCGCCTCATTAGAAAAAAAGACACTCCTTCCACCCAGGAAATTCCAAGGGATGTAGGAGCTCTGTGCCAGGAACTGGGGGAGAGACCAATATGTGTATTTTCTCTTATCTCACAACCTGACCCTAGGCTGACTCTCCTCAGGCTTCTTCAAATCCACATACACAAGACCAGGCTTCAAGTAAAATTCTGCCTACTAATAATCAGATGGTGATGATTTTGGAAATAAACAAGGACCAACCAAATGAGATCAAGCAAAGGCTACGTGTTCAGAGTTGGCTATAGTGAGAGAGTCGCCCTCGTCACTTGGTTTGCAAGAGACCCAAAGGCAGGCAGGGGATGGGGAGAGCTTCATGGTGGAGAAAGGGGGGCTCAGGGGTGCCCTGGCATTGTGTGCCTGGGGAAGCTGGAGGTGGGCTAACTAGAAGTGGGGTGTCCTCATGATTGGTTAGGGGAATGTGTTTGGCTATCTCTGGTTGGTCCTAACTGGGAAGTGGGAACAAAAATTAGGGAAGTTGTCAGTTATTCACCAAGTCCTGGTCATTTGGCTCATTTGGATTGTTACAGGAGTTATTGTGTGGCTTCCCAGGTTGTCACTAGAGAAAGCAGCCTGACTTCCACCAAGTCTGACTTACAGCAGCTGGCTTCCTGTGCTGGTTGCTGCAGGTTGTGGGTCAGAGTTCTATTTTATAATTGGTCCACTCATCATCCATTTGTATACTCAGTCTCTCATAACAGACCCTGAAGAGGTCAGCTGCAGTGTTAACATGAAACAATATTTCTCCCACGGTCACACCTCAGCTGTAAAGTGTCCTAACAGCCTCCTTCTTTTTCATGGTCACTGCTTTCTTACCAATAACCTCCCTAGCCTTCTCTGTGGCCCCAACCCATGAACAAAAATAACTGAGAGCCAATTACTAAATTGTCTGCACTTCATGGAAGCAACAATCTAGAGCTGAGCCTCACTTCCCCTCTCCCCTCCTCGGAATTATTCATTGCAATCCCAAATCTTACAGAACCCCCTTTCTACTCTCATAATGAGAGGCAGCCCAGAATCCTCTGGGTTTCTCCCTTGTTGCAGCAAGTTAATTAACCGAGGTTTGTTGGACGCCTGGTTTGTCCCTGGTGGACTTGGCTGTTGGGCTTTATCACCCAGCTCAAGTATCACCTCTTCCACTAGACGTTTGGATGCAATTTTTCCCTCCTCCAGCCCCCAGAGCACTTTATTCCTATGCCTCTGATGCTGGAGTTAACCATGTTAGGACATTTCCTCTACTAGACTGTAAGTTCCTTTAAAGATAGGGACTGTATGAGATTCCTTTTTGTATCTGAGAAGTTCTGAGAGAAATGGCACACACCTGGCCAGACTAAGATGAAAGGGCACTGATGTTACCTGAACACAGCTTCATACACATGCTTCCTAGCTAGACTAGTTTTCAAGAAACCCCTGAACAACTGAAAATTACCCTCGATTGGCCTACTCAAAGACAGTTTTCCTGGACTCACATTTTTGCTAGTTTCCAGGTAATTTTTTTTAAGTGAATCTTTTCACTGTTCCCAAGGCTGACTTCAGTTTTTTCCTATTTGTCCCTCTCACCCATCAACTGTCTCCCTCATATAAGAAATAAACAGCTAGCAGATAACTAACTAGATGCCCCTGAGTTGTTCTTTGACATATGTCATGCAACACCTCATACTGTGCTGTGCATGTGATAAATCCAACGTTGACTTAATTAGCAAAGAAGAGAATTTCTTTAGAGTTGATGAAACCAGCAAACAGTTAGCCATTGATGATTAAGTAGCTAGGAACTCAAGTTTTTTTTCCTTTTTGCAATTACTGGTTATAGCTTATAGCTGTTTACCCACCCATCATCAACTGTGCTGTTTAGGCAATATGCTAGCCGACTCACACTAGGTTCCTATAGATAACATCTCCCTGGAGCTTCGATCACCATGGTAATGGGTGTTTGAGCTGTTTTTCAGGAATTAGAACCCCTTGTCCACTTCAGGCCAGTTAAGACCACCAACCCATCAACTGGGCCCATGAAGATGTCTGATAAGCAACCTTTTGATGTCAAGAGGCTAAAACTCCACCCTCAGGTCACAGTGACGCTGCCACTTTGTGAACATGTGTCCTATGAAGAGGCATGAAGTCTGACTACACTTGCGCAGGTCATCAATTACCTCACCTCCCCTCACCTCCAATCATCTATCTCCACATTTCAGACCACCTTGCCCCCTACTCCATAAATATCCCTGAGTCCCCATTATCGAGGAGGTGGATTTAAGACTTGTTCTCCCGTTTTCCTCACTTGGCTGCCTTGTGATTAAACCCTCTCTCTAGTGCAATCTCGTTGTCTCGGTGTTTGGCTTTCTGGGCGACAGGCAAAAACAAACGTGGTTTGGTAACATTGATTCAAGTGAATTCTCAATGAATTTATATATCCGGTTTCTGAGCCTGTAAATGACAACAGACCAATCTGATAGATAAATGGCAAGCAATAGGATATATTGAGGAATATAGACTATAATGAGGAAGCCACTTGGTGTAAAACTAATTCAGCCTGACTTTGTTTTTCCAGAAGGGCCTGATGTGGCCTTTGAACATGCACTGTATATCTGCTTTAAGGATTTACCATGTCCCAAAGACAAGAACAAATGCCCTTAAGATAAGGATGCAATTTCCCCCACATTGGCATTTCCTCAAGGATAAGCATTCCTCCCTAGGCTAGGATTTGATTGCTGTGCTCATCCTGTGACCATCTAACTTGAGACAACAGACCTTCTACCTGCTGTGCCTATCAAGACAGCAGGCCTGATACCAGCTGCGTCCATCAATCACTGGGCCGACAGGGCCATCTCGTGACTTTTGTGAAAAGGACATTGCAATCACATGTGATACATGCTCTTTGACGGTATATAACCACTCTGTACACCCCCAATTCTTTGGAGTGCTCCATTCCTTTATGAAAGGACTCTCCCGGGCTATATGTTCCTCAAATTTGGCTCATGATAAACTCACCCCAATTTTGATTTATAGATTGGTTATGGATTATTTGCAGTGACAAGACCAACTCTAGATCATAATGACCCCTCAGAAGTACAGCCACCCCGTGTGGCCCCAGTGGAAGAAACCTTGCATGCCCTACTTTGATATCTCCTTGGCTATGACTCTCCACATTCTTCCAGAGCCAAATTGCTAATTTTCTTTTCAGGCATACATTCCAACTGGCTTCGAAGAATAATGGAGTTACTCTTTCCAGATGTGGTTTTGGAAAAAGTTCTCAAAATCCTCGTCAGCAGATAAGATACTTAACTAGTGACAGTCCTATCTCTGTGCCAGTCTCATGCGGCCTCCTATAGTATAATGCACTTGAACTTTGATTATGTAGTTTTTAATGTTTGGGCATCCTTTCTTATTACTTGGATAAAAGTTTTGATGGAGCATCTTCCCCTCTCTAGTGAATTTTGTTGGTTATCATCTTAGGAAAAAAAGCTCTTCTCTTTCAGTCGTGGGAGAGCTCACCATTTTTGATCACACATATACACGCACACCCTCACACCCATACTCTGGCCCTCCATAACCATTTACCTTCCTGGTTCTCTTTGATTATCTCATGGCAGAGTGACAGAATGGAAAGAGCAGTGAACTCTGAGCTAGAACAACCTGCATCAAACTCTAGCCTTCTATGAGATCTTGGGTGAATATTAGTTTCCACGTTAGCAATCTGGAAGTGATACTCCTGCTCTCTCTCATCAAATTTAACGAAATAATGGGATTTGTATGCTGTAAACTGCTTGAATGTATATACTAGGTGCTACACATAAAATATGAGTTTCAAGTACTGCTCTGCTTTTCCTTTACTTACAGAACCAAGTTCTCACCTTCCTAGCCTGATAGTCAAGACCCTTGACTGTGTAGTCCTTATCCAACTCCCCTTAGACTTAACTGGATCCCTAACAAGCCATGCTCTTTCCAGTCTCAGAACCTTGCGGTGTGCTTTCTTCAGCGGGGGGTGGGGGGGGTGCGGATAACTAAAAACAAAATCTCCTCCCAACTCAGAAAACCTCTTCACAAAAGGAGAAGAGAAAGAATTTTATTGAACAAGCATTAAACCAGAATGTGATGCGCATCACAGGCAATCCACTCAAGGGATACAAGGACAGACAGAAAGTTCACTCTCCTATACAGCTAAGTGGACAGAGCCCATTACACTAGATAACTTGTGCAATTTGGAGTCAGGTGACAAGTGGGCCCTTAACATTCCAGGACACCGGAGATCGCGCTTTGTCCCCCTTGACAATTACATTTCAAAGTCAGAGCTCCCGGGTCCTTGGGAAATATTCCTGACTTGTGAGACTAGCCTGGGCTTACCTAGCCATTAGGTGTTTATCTCCATTTGAAAAGTGCAGAAAATGAAATTCTGAAAGCAAAGAGGCTGTCTTCCCCCTTTTCATCGGGGACGATCCCGCGTCCCGCTCCTCATTTCTGGGGCCTTCCGCCCGCCCCGCTCCCCTCCCGGTCTCCGGTTCCTTTACAAGGCCCACCCCCGCTCCTTCCACCCCTGTCCCCACCCAGCTTCCGCCGGTACCACACTTCTGCCAGCCGTCCTCAGAGAAGACCGCGCCCCGGCCCCTACGTGACGTCATCTCCCTGGGCCGCGCCGGGCCCCCGGGTCACGTGACGACACGTGCGGCCTCCGGCGGGCCGCGTGATGACGCAGGCTCGGGCTTGCCGGTTAGCAGCTATGGCTGGTGGTTGAAGCGTGTTCCTGCGGCCGCGGGCTGCTCCTGGCCATCGTCGTCATCCGAGGCCATCGAGGGTCCCAGGCCGTGCCTGCCCTCTGCTGAGGCCGGGTAAAGATTGTGGGGCCTCGGGGCCCGGTGGGAGGGCGCGCTGGCCCCTCAGTTGTCGCGGGCTGGGCTGCGTCGGGCGGGTGGGGAGGGATCCGGAGGTACCTAGCCCGGCCCGGTCGGCCCTGCGGCGGGCGGGGGTCTCCAACCGAGCTTGTGAGGGTCCCATTCGGAGGACACATGCGGCCTTAGAGGCAGCGCTGGGGGAATGGGGTTGTGGGTACGGCCTGCCCCGAGGAGGAGGACTCGGGCGCGGTAGGAGGCCGGCTTGAGCTGGCGGCCTGCCTTCCAGGGGTGGGCCCTCGACTCGGTCGCAGTAGTTCGTCGCGGGGACGCGCTGCTGAGTGACGCTGCGCGGGTCCCGCGTCCACCCCCCCCCCCCCCGAACCATGAGCGCATGGGCCTCCTGTTCTCTCCACCGTTATTTCACCGGGAGAACCGAGCCTACTTCTGTGTCTTGGCCTACAGTTCCGAAGTGTTTGCTGAACGTAAAATACATACCGAGAAGAACGTGGAAGAAAAGGCCATTTTGTGTAATGATGTGATGATAGGAATGTTTCTGCGGTCGCATAAGTGTAGGAACCTCAGCTCTAGAATTACACGGTCATAGGGAGTACACTTAGCTCCCATCGACTTATCTGCTTGATAAGGCTGTCTCTCCCGAGCCTCCTTCCCTCGCTCCCTCAGCCAGAAAGGATCTGTGTCTGGGGTCCATCGCTTCCTACCATCGGCCCGAGTTACTTGTGCTCGTGCGCTCGTGGAAGAAACGCACGTAGGCCCAATTCAACCCTATGGTCTCTTCCCTCGGCTTTCGGTCGGGGCTGGGGCTCAGCGCATTACTGCTGCGTGCCCCGGGCTTGAGCTCAGGGTTTGAGTGAGTGGGCCGCAAGCCTCCAGCGTGCTTGGGTCTGGGGTGACCCTGTGCATTCCTACAGTGCTTGCGAGAACATTTTGAAACGGTTTGAGGCCTTGCCCTGCTCCATCCAGAGCAAGGTTATAGAAATTTCAGACAACTGCTTGCTCCCTTCCCTGTCTGGTGTGCAGAGTGTTGTATAGATCTGTACTGTCTGATGTAACCGCTTGCCACATATGGTTAAGTTGAACTTAAATAAATTTTAAAATTGTTTTTCATCCGCACTACCTACATTTCAGATGCTTAATAGCCATATTTGGCAAATGGCTACTGTACTGGACTGTGCAAAATAGAGAACATTCACATCTCTGCAGAAGTTGTTTTGGACTTTGGGTGTTTGCTGTGTTCCAGGCTCATTGCAAATGTTATTATACTCTTAAAACAAAAGCCTTAGAAAAGTTGAAAATAAAGCTCCGAGGGAGTGGTGAAGGTGGAGTTGGACCAGCAGCAGGGAGTAATGAGTAGAAAGGAGCAACAGGGATGAGCCCTGCCTTGAGGGCCTGATGGTTCAGGATATTGACAATTAAGAGGCAAACCAAAGGCTAAATTCTGCCCCAGGAGTTGACTGAGGGTGAGGTGAGTGTGCACTGATCTTAAAGGAAGACCTCATGGGAGAGGAAGGCACTAATGTTGGTTGGAGTCTTGTTTTGTGCCAAACCTCTTAATTCTTAACCCAGTTTAAATTTTTGAAGACCACTGTGAGGTGGTCTTAGGTCCAATACAAATGAGGGGCCCCTGGTCAGAATTACATGTCCAGGGTTGCCCAGCTGGAAACTAGCAGTTCGGGATTATAGGCCAGGCCTCTCCAGCCCTATATAGTCTGTGCTCTTTTCCAGGATGCCAGACCGAGAGAGAAGAATCTAGAAGCAGGTGGGAAGTTTGGGTTGGAGGGAAATGGGTTGTGTCCCTGCCTTGGTGTGAGGGCTGTAGGGTGCAGTCAGGGATGGGCCATGATGGAAAGAGTGGCCAGCGTGGTCATGGCAGGGCAGCACAGCTCCTGTGCTCATCTCAGTGGCAGGGTCACACCACACCTCTTCCCTTGAAGGTCCAGGCTTCCAGTCGACTCGGATCTCTTCGGTCCAAGTGCAGATGCTGAGCACACCAGCCTCCACAGGGCTGTGGTCCAGAGACACTGTTTGTGAGGCTCGAGTTTCTGCAGTCCTAAGAGCGAGGTGCTGGCTGCCCTTTTGCCCAGATTGTCTTTTCAAGGATGTTCGAGTAGCAGACAGGCTTGGGATGTATGAGGTGGTGCCTCCCTTCAGAGCAGAGAGCAGGTATGCCCACTGTCCACCGTAAAAGATTTGGCTTTGGTGCACCCTGGGTGCCTTTTCTGTAACGCTGCCTACTGCGTGTGCGGGTGCCTTCTAGCTCCCCTTGCATCACCCTGTAGGAATCGGGGCTGGTGGAAAACGCTGATGTTCTGGCTACTGCTGTTTTGAATAATCAACTGGCTTTGTTTCTAATTGAGGAATCTTGTGTCTCCTACCAGCATCTGTGAAACTGGGGCTTGTCTGCTCTTGGGGGTGGGGGGTAGATAAGACCCTTCACCTCCCCCCAGCAGGCTCTGCTGTGCCCCTACCCCAGCACATAACACGCAGTGTCTGCCATCCCCCAGTGTTTCAGCTGCAGAAAGCACAGGATGCCAGAACTAGAAGAGATCTGAGAGATGATCCGTTCGGTGGCTGTCAGGCTGTCCATGGAATCTGCAGGGGTATGTATGCAGGAAGGGTCTGGCCTAGCAAGTCACGTCACTTCTGTTTATTTTCCATGAATCCTCTGGCCAAGAAGTTTAAAATCATCAACTTATTCTGACCTTCCCATATTGTAAGTCAGGTGATCGAGTCCCAGAAAGGTTAATTTCCTTCAAGCCCACGAGACTGCTTTGTGGACAAACAATTTTCTAGTGTCTGGATTCATGGGGCCCTGATTCTTTGGCATTTGGTTGCCTTTGTGGTTTTGGATTCAACCCACCACATTTTCCCCAGGAATCTCATCAGTGGTGTGCTGGCCTGGAAAAGACAAGCTGCCACTCAGTCTCGTCACAGAGGCCTTCTCAGCTCAAGGTGGAGTCAGGAATGGGAACCCAAGTCCAGTTCTGTTATTGCTACTTGGTGGCAAGAGGCATTTGTAACAATCCCTGGCTATATGTTTACGTCACTTATTTTTCATAGCCGGCGTCCGAGGTGTTTTGAATTTCCTCATTTTTACAGATGAGGAAGTGGGTACTGGGGGGTTGTGGCCTGCCTACATTGACACACCTAATGAGGGTGCAGCAGAATTTGAACCAGGCCTTTGCACCTCAGTTCTCTGAGCAGCTTCGAAGCCTCACTAACTCCCCTGCTAGGAGGAGTCAGGAGTTTCTGGTTCTGCCCAGGCTGGCGTGTGGGTGGCTCAGGGCCTGGTGTGCGTATCTGACTGACATTCTCTGACCCCAGGTGTGGGCGCTGTGTTATCTGCCTCCAGAAGAAGGATCCTGGCTGTGCATCAGGACCCAGCCCCCTCTGACATTTCCTGAATGAGGAACAAGGCATATATAATAAACAGAGTTTTAAATGTGATTCAGCCTGTTTTTTTCTCCTTTTCATGTGCTAGATACAAAGAGGAGGAAGATCTTGCCCTTCCTGAAGGAGTTTCATCCCAGTCCAAGGGACCCCCAGGGTGTTTCCCATTCTCCTTGCTCGTGCTTTTGTAAACTGCAGGGGGGTTGATGGGGCAGAAAGACCCATGATCAGGGCTTTACCTTGAGATCCTGGAGTGAGTTCCGTTGGCTTGATGGGGTTCTCTGCCTCGTCATCCTCTTCACCAGCGTGGGTCAGACTTGGGAGTGTGGATCGAGATCCAAGTGTGTGAATTGATACCCTTAGTATGAGTGATGCACTCACATAATATCCTATTTCATTGGAAAAATAATCAGTCCACCAATGGGTTGCACCCACAAATTTAGCCCATTTAGCTTGATGATGGAGACATTGTGTTGTCAAGGAATGTCAGCAGGCCAGGCTTAGTTAGCTGGCCAACTAAACCAGAAAAGGTGCAAGGAACTACTTTAACTACTTTGTTACTGACGTAATGAGTGGGAAAGTCCCCAGAGGTACCTGCACCCCAAGTCATGCAGCTACACCCTGAGAGGCCCGGGCAGAAAGCCTCACGTCTCACAACCGGAAGCTAGAGGAAACCCTCCTGACCACCTCCTGGGCAGATGGGGAAGAGAGTGGGAGGTGGCCTCAGAGCAGCTCCTCACAAGCACCTTCAGAGGATGAGCTGTGTGGCCCAGGTCAGTATGCGTAGCTCCAGGGCTGCTTGGGGCCCTTCCATGCAACTAACCAACAGTATGTCTGCCCTGAGTTGTGACAATAAATTTTAAGTGCAAATCCTAAGTGGGTATAGTTGTGTAGGGAAGCTGAGAAACTGAATGAGAAACTGAAAGGGACTAGGGATCTGCTGCACGGGTCGATGGCATCAGCAAGGGGGGCCTCGGGTGGGGGCCACAAAGGGACTAGGCAGACGGAGGCATCTTGAAACTGATCTAGATCAGATCATGAGAGTGAAACTGCTGCCCTCAGCTCCCAGCGGCCCCTCCCTGCTGTCCTTCCATCCTCACTCATCCACCTGTTTGTTCCACGGTGGTCACTGCCCCAACTTCTCAGACCCTGCAAGGAGTACACCCTGGGGAAGCTGCAAATAGAGCCACCACTTGTCCTGCCTGAGACAAGGCCGAGACAGACCTGCAGGCCCAGGGGTCCAGCCACACCCAGGAAGAGAAAGGACTTTCAGTGTGATGATGTCTTTGCCTTGTGAGATATGAGGCAGTGGGCGGCAAATCTTTTGTGCAAGCTGCAAGCTGTCAGGGTGGAGAGAGCCCAGGCATGATTGCAATTAGACTAAAGGTCACACAGCAGCAGTGTCTAAAGCCAGGACTGGCAAGCTTTGCCCATGGGCCAAATCCCCAACCTAAGAATGGTCTTGACATTTTTACGTGGAAAAAACCCAAAGAAAACTTTTTGTGACGCGTGAAAATTCTATCAAGTTCAGGTTTCACTGAAACAACCAAGTTGTTCCTTTCAAATGTTAATACAAACCCTGGGATGACTGATCCCAGAGATTGGGAGGTTGGGGAAGTGAAACCTTGCTACTCAGCTCTGAGAACTCCCCAGATTCTCCCGAGCTTTGGTTTGGAAAGCCCTTCAAAAGCACCAGCCCAAGAGGTGGGCGTTGGGAGGGTGTGCTAGAGCTTGGAAGGATGACCTGAATTTGCCCAAGAGAAACCACGGGCCTGGCGCAGGGTGGAGCCAAAGCCCTGTCCTGATGCGAGGGTCTTTCAGGCCAGGGTCCCCTGGTAGCCCATGGTGCACGGCCTGGTTTTGTCAGGAACTTGAATAAGCATGTATAAGTATGTATCCATTTTAAGCTATTTGAGGGGAAAAAAACCCTGTAACTTGCATATTGAACAATTTCAGAGTTTAAAAAATGAATTAGGGCCGGCCCCGTGGCTTGGCGGTTAAGTGCGTGCGCTCTGCTGCTGGCGGCCCGGGTTCGGATCCCGGGCGTGCACTGACGCACCGCTTGTCCGGCCATGCTGAGGCTGCGTCCCACATACAGCAACTGGAAGGATGTGCAACTATGACGTACAACTATCTACTGGGGCTTTGGGGGAAAAAATAAATAAATAAAATTATTTAAAAAAATAAATAAAAAAATAAAAAATGAATTAACTGAAAGGCAATTATTAAGTAAAGTAGCTTTTTGAGTACCGAGTCCCAAAGGTGGCTGGGATGACCCAAGTTTGGGAAATACTCTGGCCTCCCTGTGGGAGGGGAGGGATGAGAGCACTGTGTGGTCAAGGAATGCTGTTTGGAGACAAACCTTAGCCACCCAGTCTGGCCATTCCTAAAGGTGCTATGACCTCTACCGAGCCAGGTGACAGTCCACACCTCTAAGCTAAGGACACAGGTGGGACAGCAGGGCTCCTGGTGCTGTTCCTGGTCCTTACTACTGGAGGGACAGGCGGGTGGACCCCAAAGACATGTGGGAACCTGGGAAACATCCAGAGGTTCCAAATCGCAGCAGATGATTTCAGACCACCAGCCCGTGGCAGAGTCTGATGTGAAGCTGGTCTTGTCCTTTACATCCTGGCATGGTCTCCCACACTTTTTTTTTTTTTTTTAATAATTTTACTTATTTATTTTTCCCCCAAAGCCCCGGTAGATAGTTGTATGTCATAGTTGCACATCCTTCTAGTTGCTGTATGTGGGACACAGCCTCAGCATGGCCAGAGAAGCGGTGCGTTGGTGCGCGCCCGGGATCCGAACTCGGGCCGCCAGCAGCGGAGCACGCGCACTTAACCGCTAAGCCACGGGGCCGGCCCTAGTCTCCCACACTTTAAAGAATGTTATTTCCTAGGCCCCTGCCCCAAAGGCCTGGGCATGGGCATTTTTTCACTTTTTATCAAGGTACAATGTACCTACCCTAAAATCCACCTACCATTGAGGTCTGAGAATTGACAGCCACATAGGGTTGGGTAGCCACAACCACATCAAGAAATTGTTCCTTACAGTCCCACAGGTGACTCCAGTGAGGCAAGGCTGGGGACTGGGGGGTCTCCGCTGCTTGGGGTGAGGGGTGGACTGAGATCACAGATGGTTGGAGCTTCCTAAGGAGGCCAACAGGAACCCTCCAGCCTGCACCAGACCAACCGTTAGGCACGCCCGCCCTCTGGGCGTGGGGAACAGGAAGCAGGGGTCAGAGCCCCTAAGGAGGGAGCCGCAAGTGGGGAGAGCAGTCCCTCCCTGGGGCCAGAACCCACTTCCTACTTTGCTGCGCAGCCGCTGGGGAGGCGGGCAGGGAGGGCTGGGCTTGCTGGAGAGCACCCCTCCCCTCCGCCCCTCTGTACAGGAAGGTCGGGGCAACCTGGCCGGGGTGCTTCCCGCTGGCAGGATGGAGGACGAGGAAGGCCCCGAGTGCGGGAAAGCCGACTTTGTGCTTTTGGACCAAGTGACCATGGAAGACTTCATGGAGAACCTGAAGCTCAGGTAGACCCAGGACACTGGCTCCCCTTCTCGTACCCAGCCCCACTGGCCTCCATCAGTCCAGGGAAAGGGGGGGTGCATACACACCCACATGGACCACTGTCTGGGTGACTGTAGGGGGATGTGGTGGGGCAGGAACAACTGTCCCCTCAGGGCCAGGGTGGCCACCCAGCGCTGGAACCGGATCCTCGGATCCTTGCCTTGCACACAACCCCGGGTGCCTTCCAGCCCCTCTTGCTGGGCAGGGACAGGCAGGTGCCAGGCACTCGGACCAGGGGGACTCTCTATCTCCCATGTGGGGCTGTGCTGAGCCCTGGGGGCTCTGAGGGAAGCGGGTAGGTCCTGCCCTGGGGTGCAGGTGAACAAGTTGAGATGACACTCTCAGGGGAGCACGTGGGGGTGCTGCAGGGTGTGGCTGGTAGAAGTGACATGGGGCCTGATTTGCCGAGGAGGAGGGCAGAGGGCAGGGAAAAGCCAGGGGTCGGGCGGTGAGATGGGGTGGCCATCCCTGAACAGCCTGGGGGAGTAGAAGGCAGCCTGCTGTGTAGAGCTTGGGCACGGCTCCACTGAGCACAGATTGTTGAAGCCAGAGGACAGGAAATGAGCTATTTTGTATGGGACACAGAGCTAAGCTTGATGTCACTTCATTCTTATAAACTAGCTTATAAACTGGGTATTATGATCTCCATTTAACAATGGAACACTGAGCCCCAGGCCACACAGCTTGCAGATGGGAAAGCATGTCTCTGAGCAGGTCCCCGGTGGGCGGCAGTTGAGGTGTGGAGGGAGCGGAGCGGGGAACCCCCGAGCCAGAGGCAGTGAGGAAGAGGAACCCAGGACAGCCGCCAGGGAAAGGGCGGTCCCGGACACCACGGAGAGCAGGCTGCCAGTGCTCCTCCCCAGGGAGGAAGGTCAAGAGAGGGATGACACAGGCACCCCGCCAGCGACGGGGTTCCTGATGGGAAGAATTGAGGAGTCTGAGGATGTGCCGGGAGGACACTGCAGCCCCAGCAGCCCTGTGCCCCTCCTGGCCCCTGCCATCTGGGTGGGGCTGGGCGGGGTCCCCTCTGCCTTTGTGTCCCCGCCCAGGCCTTGAGCCGGAAACGGGCCCCTCCCTGTCCCCAACCCCAGCTCCCAACCTGCCGCTCTGCCTCACCCAGTGTGGCTTTGGGCAAGTTGGTCCCTTCATAGAATGGGTGGTCATGATTCCTGTGACGTCAGGACCCCAGGGAGAACAATGTGGACCCCAACACTACACTGCAGTTGGGTGGGCACCGGGAAGACTCAGGTCAACCCGCCCCCCTCCTCCGCTCTCAGCCCCAGGGGCGGGCCAGGGCCTCGAGGCTCCAGGACTTGGGTGTCTGTCCCTGTGGCCCTGAGCACCGAGGAATGGCCTTGCCCGTGCCAGGTTCGAGAAGGGCCGTATCTACACCTACATCGGCGAGGTGCTGGTGTCC